AAAAAAGAGAAAAAAAATAAATAATCAAAGAGTCAGTTCAGAGTAGTGGGGCACGCTTATAGTCTCAGCGTTCAGGAGGTGGTAGCAGGCAGATCTCTGAGTTTAAGGCCAGTCGGGTCTACATAGTGAGTTCAAGGCCAGCCAGAGCTACTACACACTGAGACCCTGTCACCACCCCCCACCACAACAAAAGACCCAACACAAAATCCAAGAAATAATTCCAGAACTAGAAAGGCCTCCCGAGGTCACCTGCTGCCAATGAGGCCTGAGGAGGCAGGGACCTCCCTGGAGTTCTAAGTGGGGCAAGTGGCGTCCTTGAACCCAGGGAGAGTGGTGGCGCCCAGCTCTGCACGGAAGACCAAGGGGACTTTTACGCCCTCAAGCCTGCCTCTCCTTCCCCAAGGGCATCCTCACACTACTTCACTCAACAGATGCACATCTAGGCTCTGCTCTGAGCCAGTTTCTCTGGACTACAGGGGGGAGAACAGATTCTCCAGGCTCCCAGAGTGGACACTCATTAGTGAGCACACTGCCCACAGTTAGTCAAATTTAGCACAGGAAGTCCCTCCCCTTGCCTCCCCTCCCTTTTTTCCTTTCTTTTTCTGAGACACTGCCTCATTCAATAGCCGGGGCTGGTCTTGAACTCTCTACCCTCTTGCCTCGCGTCCTGACCGAGGGATTACAAGTGTCACCATGTCCCGCTTTCTGGGGAGCTTTCTTTATGTTTTGCTGGAGTCAGAAGAGTACAGAGGGAAAGCGGTTCACTCTGTGGGAGTGCAGACCAGTTCGCTTTCCTTTGTCACTTACCACACCAGGGAAGTGGTGATTCAAAACCACCTGGAGGGACGGAGACGCGGCTCAGCAGTCAAGAGCACTGGCTACTCTTGCAGAGGACCCGGGTTCAGTTCCCAGCACCCACATGGTGCTCACAACCATTCCTAACTTCAGGTCCAGGGATCCAAGAGCTCTCTTCTGAACTCTGTGGGCAGCAGGGTGTCACTCTTCGTGGTAGCTCTTGTGTTGAAAATGGATCCATCATCCCTCCTCCCTCATCTTACTCCTTCCCTCCTTCCCTCCCTTCCTCCCCTCTTTCTGGGTTTCACTATGAAGCTAAGGTGGCCTCTGCCTCCTGAGTGCTGGGGTTAGGGGGGTGTACCACCTCCCTCAGCTGTGCCAGGGCCCTTCTAGTCTGTCTGGGGGAAGGGTGTCAGATCCGCGTCCACTGGATAGTGCTGGGTGTGACCTCAGTCCTGCAAAGAATCTTGCCCTCATGGTTCCTTAGGAGACATCTAGAGAATGAATGAAGCCACCAGGACCCACTGAGCTTCCATTTGTCTGTCTCAAGATTACTTTGGATCTTTTTGTTTTGTTTTGTTTTTCAAGACAGGGTTTCTTTGTGTAGCCCTGGCTGTCCTGGAACTCCATCTGTAGACCAGGCTGGCCTTGACCTCATCAAGATCCACCAGCTTCTACCTCCTGAGTGTTGGGACTAAAGGCCTGTGCCACTACCACCTGGCTTATTTCAGTGATCTTGAGGTAACAAATGAGTTCTGCATATTTCAACATTTCATTGTCTTTTGTTTAAGGTTGGCTCCTAAATATCAAAGTGTGGAGGGCGCCCCATGCAACCAAGTACTTTGATGATCAGGCTTTCTGGGAGGTAAGATTTTTAAGTTATTAACATGATAGATTTATTTTTATTTAGTGGGTGTGTGGGTGTGTGTAAGGAGATCAGAGGACAACTCATGGGAGTCCTCTTCAGGTGACCTAAGCTTAATGATAAAGAAATGGAGGCCCGTTGGTGAAGTCACTTGTCCGAAATGGCAGAGCCAGTCAAGGACACAGGAATACAAATGTGTGTCTGGCTCCAGATGTGTGGTGGGTATCTGCTGGAGAACTGTCTCCAGACCCGGATGTCACCATGTGGCCTTCTCACTTACTTCCTGTCACTGAGCAGAGCCAGGCTGTAATGTAGGAAAACAGACCAGGAGCTGCCTGTGGTTCTGTAAGTCACACAAGCACCATATGGAAAAATCCAAAATGGAAAGAGCTACGGTAGTAGAAAGTCCCTGGCACTGGTGGTATTAAAAAAAAAAAAAACCAGAACCAGATCCATGTAAAGAACTACGTGAAGAGCCGGGTGATGGCGCATGCCTTTAATCCCAGCACTCAGGAGGCAGAGCCAGGCGGATTTCGAGGCCAGCCTGGTCTACAAAGCGAGTTCCAAAGCAGACTCCAAAGCTACACAGAGAAACCCTGTCTCAAAAACAAAACAAAACAAAACAAACAAACAAACAAAAGTACTGCATGAAGCTGGGCGTGGTGGCCCACGCCTGTAATCCCAGCAGTAGGGAGCTCAGGAAGGAGGAGGGCAGATTCGGGCATAGCTCCCACTACACAGCTAGACTCAAAATACAAAAAGGGTTGGGGAGAGGTTAAGAGTGTTTGCTGCTCTTACAGAGGATCTCGCTTCTGTGTTATCATCAGTTGTTACTGGTTCCTGGGACCTACACCCTGTAACTTCAGTTCTAGGGGTTTTGGTGCCAATTCTGACCTCACCGTACACTGCACATGTAGGGCGCAGACAGACAAGCATACACACACACACACACACACACACACACACACACACACACACACACACACACACACACACACGAGTATACATAAGGAAAACAAATAGGGCCCGGAGAGATGGCTCAGTGGTTAAGAGCACTGGTGTTCTTCCAGAGGACCAGGTTCAATTCCCAGAACCTACACAGCAGCTCACAACTGTAACTTTGTAACTCCAGTTTGAAGGATTGGATGACCTCTTATGGCCTTTGCGGGAGCCAGGTGTGGACATGGTACACCAACATATATGCAAGCAAATCCTCCAAATACATATTAAAAAACGGTTTTGAGCCAGGCGGTGGTGGTGCACCGCCTTTAATCGGAGTTCCAGGACAGCTGTGGTGGTTACACAGAGAAACCCTGACTCAAAACAACAACAAAAGGTTTGTATGCACAGAGATCCTCCGGCCTCTGCCTCCCAAGTGCTGGAATAAAAGGTGTATGCCACCACTGCCTGGCTAAATTCAATTTTTTTTTTTTTTTTTTTTTTTTTTTTTTTTTTTTTTTT